TAATGCAGAAAAATTACAATTAAAAATAATTAAAAATACATCTAATGATATTCAAATTACATTTAATGGAAAAAGACTATCATCAAAAATGAAATCTAAGAGCGAAAATAAGGACAATGAACTTAGCAGATCAATCAAAATGAATCCAGCTGTTACACGAATGCAAACTGTAACCATCCAAAATTCCAACTTTCCTAAAGGTAATAGAATGACAATAATTTTTTTTTTACATAAATACGCATTTATTTTATTCAATAACTAAAATTTATTCTTCAAACCCATCAAGGTCAAGATCTACAAATAAGCAAGGTAAATAATACACAACACAATTTGTAATTGTAACAATTTATAATTGATATTTCATAATACACTAAATTTTTCATCTTCTAACAATAGGTTGATGCACAATCAAAAATAACACACGAAGTACCTCAGGTACATCAGGCACAATCAAAAATAACACACGAAGTACCTCAGGTACATCAGGATCAACAACACTGTATTTTTTCGTCATTGATAAGCATTAATGCTAATAAAACTTTTCACTTCTTGAAATCTTGAAACAGGTCAATATACAACCGGATACCTCCAAGAATAATATTGATATTAATCGTAATATTAGTAAGAACGGTGATAATGTTGTAGTACCCAAAGAGTCATCGAAAATGTACAAACAAAGGAGTGACCTAATAGTTTTTTCAGAACAAATCAGATTTGATTACAAACAACTTGGGCTAATGTTCGCGTCTATGCTATTGGCATATCAAGCTGGAAAATTCAGTGGATATTGACATTAATTTCTCAAACCATTGATATGAATAATGTTTTTAAATTACTCATAAATAAGAGTATGGCAAATTTTTTCTATTATTTATTCTTTTATCATACAAAATTGTTAATTTAATTAATCATATTAATAATTAAATATTTGAGGTTCAGAATTTGCATTGTTATATATATAAATTTAAATTTAACCGATGTAATTTTTTAGCTTTGTTTTAGAAGTTTACATTATTAAATTATAAATAGAAATATTTTTAAATTTAACCTATAATACTTTATAATTTTGTCGCCACGAAGTAGAATGCAAGCATTGCATATGCACTATATTTATTGGTGTTTCCTGCGCATATGAAAGGAGGTACTTTAAATTTTCAGCTACATATTTGGAATATCTTATACGATCACGCATAAAAAAGTTACTTGTGACAAGAAGAGGTTTTTTATTGTGAATTTGATAGGTCATTATTTAGAAAGTATTATGCATAACAAACAAAAAATAAATAAATTATACATGTTTTACATGCCTTTA